CGCAACAACGGCGGAAATCAAAAGTATATGACAAAGTTAAATCTACTATCAAAACTGTATATATTTCACGAAAATATTCTGATTCTAGCGTTAAATCAATTTTTCTAACAAACGCATTTATTTTACAATGCCGACTGCATATTCGTACAAAATGTAGTATTTCATATGATCCACTGTACATAATATATTGCTCATTTCAGTCATAGCTAATTTGATAGTCAGATAATGATGTAGATGCGATAAATGATAAGTGATGACCAAGCAATGATGGAATAATAGGGTAGGGAAGTAACAGTGATTCGAAGAATCCTCCACAGATGACCACAATTTTAACATATGACTCAGATTTGAAAACATTGAATAAAATTGTGGTTTCGCAAAAAAACACAAAAAACAAGTGTGCAACATATACATTTGCAAGTGATGATCCCAAATTTAGTAACTATGCCAACAGATACCTCAAGCATTATAAAACTTTATAGGTTGGCACACTAAAACCATACATAATTGTAATATGTTTATGTATAACCCAACTAATTAAACAATACTAACGCACTAGAAAATGACATACATAATTTCTTACATACACTACGCACTGGAAGTTGATCGCGAGAGACGTAATGGAGTTAACAATGTGAATTGGGCCTTTGTTTGCTGACGGGCGTATTTTGAAAAGAACCAGAAATAAATATATTCTTCAGAAATATACAATTAGATATATCAATAATCTACTTGTATTTTGGGTGGTCAATGACTACCTTGTCTCGTCCTAAGGTGCAAGACTTTTCTGATTCTTGGCAGTCGCATGGGCTCCATGCCCCCCCCAAAAAAAGACATAGTTTTCGTTTGTTATCTTCCTTTATTATTTATAAGGGAGATATTTATGACATAAAATTATGTAATTATATAAAATATTATTTTGTGTTCATTGTTTGCATAATTTTATAATCATATATACACTATAAAAGAATATACACTATAAAAACAAATGTTTATTATGTAACAAAAAATTTATGACACTCCCCTTACAAAAAAAAAGATGCTGCTGATACGGGCGCGTCGGCGCCTGCCGGGCCTGGCAGCCGGCGCGGCGCGGCGGAGTGGCGTGGCTGGCGTGCGTGCAGCGCGGCGGGAAGGGGCCGCCATTCGATCGGGCGGCGACGGCGCGGCGCGGGGGCGCGAATCCTGCTCGCTCAATGCAAGGGGATGTTCAAGTCATTCGTCGGTGAGGGTAGGGGCGGAGACGGCGGCGGTCGTGACGTCGCAAATGCATCGAGTGGATAGAAATGCTGTGGAGGATAGAAAGCTCGCTTTTACCCAGACGCGAACGTCGAAATCATTCCATGGTTCTAGTTATTGATTTACCTTACCAGATATGTCGGCATGATGAATGCTAAATTTGTTGCACGTAATCATACTTATAAGTAGACCTTACGTACCATACTCTAAAAAAATATGGTGGAGTAAAAAGCATACTCATTCGATAATGTACTCTAGTATTAATAGTCTAATGTTTGTCATAAGTGTCTTCTAACATGGGAAATGTGGGAAATATTATTAACAATTTTAGTTGACTTCGTTAAAAATGCATATGTTTCAGTTCTTTGATTTCATGTTGTACCATATGACAAAAATCGGAATGTTTGGTAAATAAAGAACATTTTATATACTACTTGGTAATTCTCTGTCTGCAAGATTGATGGTACAGAGAAGTAGTATAAAATGTTAATATACGTATGTAAAGTTAGTTACTAGTATCAAAGTATGTCTCCTTATTATGGATTACGTAGAAGTACCAATACCAGCGCTTATGAATATCGTGAATTCTACTAAGGAATCATGTTTGCATGCAAAACGGCATTGGAATACCTTTCATCACCTCACATTGCTGTTACATCTATGGACTTCAGATTGACCTTTAAGAAAATAATGAGGTTTTATCCTAATGACACACAATCCAACTCTGCGAGATTGGTGTGAAACGAAGTCTTAATTTAGTTTCTGGAAGATAGGGGCCGTGCGATAGGTCATCATAGGACCAAACGTCATTGTGTGCAAAATATCCCTCTCGCTCCGTGCTCCATACCCGTTACCCTCTTTCTCCGTGCAGAATATCAAAACATTTTGGAAGTCGTTTGTAATTAGTACTACAATCATATCGGTGTAAAATGTTCATATTAAGGTAATGGCCCCATTTTGGTAGGCGTAGTATACAAATAGTTATACACAGTCGCCTCGTAATAAATATTACAAACATCTAAGCGATAAACTCGTCTTTCACTGTTGTTTGGCAGACCAGGAAATCGCTTTGCGTCAGAACGTGCTGCAATTTCAAAAGATCAATAACATAGGTAGAAGAGAAAACATTGTACATAATGTTGCTATACACAGTCACTCCAAGAGAGATAATTTTCTTGTCCCCTTTGACAGTCGTTATAATCTAAATCCGTTGCAGCCTGTTTTCCCCCAGAGTGGAGCGGCCGAGTCGTGCTGCACGGGGGCAGACCCGTCCCGCCACGGGAGAGCATTTCCGCCCCCACCCCCACCCCACGTAGGCTTGCCAGAGGCCTCTCTGGACAACTGCCAAGCGTAGAGCGTAACACCGGGCACGCGACTAAACTGATCTAATGTCTGTTGTATCCCTTCTTTCGCACTGGAATTCAAAATGTTATTAAATATACGGTACAAATATCAGACATACCTGTTCACATTTACCCAATTACTTTTATGTGATGCTAATGATAAATGCTGTTCAAAGAAAATATATTCGAAATACTGCCTATTATCTTTCGGAATGAGACCCACACTTTCAAACGAAAGAAGAATGAATAATGCAGCGAATCAATAAATCAATAGGAACGGTGCTTGCTGTTCTTTAGGTCAACGGCCGCTCTGAATATATCCGTTTCATTACGATATTGATAAAATGATGTCATGTTGCATAAAATATGATTCTTCATGCCTTACCGCAGAATGGATGGAAACGAGAAAATTCCAAGCCTTGTGCTTGCTACTTCAATTTATTTCCCCGTCCCCTGCGCTGGCGGCGGCGCAGCAACGCACGGGGGGCCGTCCTCGCGTGCGCGATCAGCGGCCGGCGAGCCCCACGCGGGGCGGGGCGAGGCGNNNGCTCGCAAGTCCTAGAGGCCAACGGCAGCCGCCGCCCGGCCATATCGACCTCAGGGCCGCTGACGCCGCTAAAAGCGTCCGGTTAGCGTGTCTGACGCCGCTCCGACGGACAGAGCGGCTGCCCGGTCGTATGCTGCTCCGCCCGCTGAGGTCTCAATTGCCTCGCAGTACGGCTACGAACAAGCGCCCTTCAGGATAAATATCGAATACCGTTTGCTATCGGATAGCCCCTCTCCGGTTACGTCTTTCGTAATGTTGTTCGGGTCTTACCAGGATAAGAGCGTCCTTGGGAGATACTCATTTCTCCGTACGTGACCGTGTTGTCCATTGCCTGCATCCTATCTCTTCGCTCAGTCAACGGCAGTTATCTGCATGCACACATGCATCCCCTTGCCAACGTATGGATAGTTTGCATCTCTTTTGAGTCAAAGCCAATCAGAATTCAATCCTGGCAGGGGACGGAAGGAGAATATTTCGCGGTATCTATATTTGCTTTGTTATTCCTTAACTCTAAACTACGTTTCAAGTTAATTCTAAATATTACACTGCGATCGTATTGCAATTACTACACATTATGAGTGAAGAGATATTTTATTTTAAAATGTCAACAATATGCTAAAAAGGGAATAGTTGTAAAAACGAATTTTCAATAAACTATTATTTCACTGTTATCATTGTTTTACATCATGCTATGTAATAATATGTTCACATATTTTTCGCGAACTTTTCGAATTTAATATTTATTCTAAACTTTATATTCCACTGCTACTCAACCAATGAATTGCTTCTGATTCCCCTGCTCTGAATTCGATTGTACGGAATTGTGAATGCTTATGCCAGCTATCTTAAATGGTTTTTCTGATAACTATATTATTAATTTCCAAAATATACGCAGAAATTTATAAAAACTGTAAAGTCTCCGGACATATGAGAGGTGTGTATGATTTCGTTAAAAACGTGGAAAAATCCAAAAACAATTTTTGAGATACCTGACGTTATGCGACAGCAATTCTCCATAAAAAGGGCACTCGCCATTAAATGTTTGCTATTCACGTATTGAAATATTTAACAGCACAATTTCTTGGCATTCATAGAATGTACAGAACTCTTGGGCTGTGTCTCCTTATACAATGTTCTAAACTATTTTATTAAGGTATTCGTGGAGACCATTTTTGTAAAATAAAATTTGTTGCAATGTTATAAGAAAGATTTTTATATGTTGTTCTTGAGCAGTTTGCTACTTTTGAAAAACTATTTTGTAGAGTTCTGAACGTCATCATATTTTTTTTATTTTTGTATATTTTACTCTTTAAATTTAAAAAAAATGTTTTTAGTTTTATGAGCCCAAACAAAATTGATAATTAATTTACATTTGTGTGTATAATATATCTTTAGCTATGTGAAAAATATTTTATTTGTTAAAATTTATTAGAAAGGTTACTTATAATAAAATGTTTGACAAAATCATGTAATAACTTGTATAAACATAACAATACATATACGTTATTATAACTAAGGGTGACACCAGAATAAAATGTGCATTACTGATTGCTAATTTTGATTTTTATACACGAATTAACATATAACACAAGAAAATGATTGGAACTTGTTTATATTCGGGAAAGGCATATTTGAAACTTAGCTCAGTTATGAAAGTACCTAAATATAAATTCACATTGTGTTACGTAATTTGATAGCCCTAGGTACATATGAGAGAATAGGAGGAGATCTACTAGTTTTTTATTCAACTTTTTGGAAAAGGCCTCGACTGCGCTTCGTGGCAGGTAAGAGACACGATACATGACTGTGAGTCTTTGAGGCTCAGAGGCTTACCTACGGTTGTGATGGCACATTGTCACGAGGCTTAAAAAATGTCAGGTATCTGTCATGATCAGGTATTTGTGCACGATGTTCTCTTGGTAGCATTTCATAATTAAATTATGTCAAAATTGGGTCCTTTCAGTAGTTCTGGCGAACTTTGCAAAATTTTAATCCATATTATTTTTTATTTGTCAAAACTATAAATATATTCCAAATAAAATGTGCTTTAATCTTTTTGTAAATGCTAAATGTGTTTTAATCTTTTGGTGAAGAACATTATGTGAAAACATGTTTTAAACTAAGATGTTTGTATTTTACATTAGAGAAGCTCACAGATGTTGATATCAGAAATCCTTGTAGAGGTTTACGTAAGTTTGTTACATCATGATTCATTCCAGCTGTTATATAAACCTTAACATGAGTCCACAGAAGGCTCCTATTTTAATGTACAGCCAATCAATTTTAAGAAACGAAACTTATGCAGAACCTCAAACAACAAATTCAATGATCTTTAGAAATATTACCTTAATTTTAAAAAAAACATTTAACTTACTATTATTTTGCTTGCCAACATAAAACTTCTCATCAAACAACACCAGTTCATAAAATAATATTAATTTTTTACTGATACGTTATTGATTTTTAACTCCTTTGATACGGAGCTCGATATACACTGCTACAATTTACCTGGATCGAGAGGATCGTGGTTACGAGGGAAATATAAAACAGTTGAATGATTTTACGTTCTATGTTGTGGAGGGGATTATGAAAAATAAATATGAGAGAAAAATATAAAAAGACAAACCTAGTCTAGCTAACGTTTTATTAATTTATAAACAAGTAAATCTGAATCAATAATATTAGGTCAAAGATAAAAGAATGTACGTACCACGGGCGTAAAAATATAAAAAGACAATCCTAGTCAAGTTAACGTCTTATTAATTTATAAATAAGTCTGAATCAATAGTATTAGGTAAAAGATAAAATCATACACGTACCACTGGCGTTCACTGGTTCTATTGATATCGTGCGGCAACATTCCCTCGAGCCAAAGGCCCTCGGGCTTTGTGTCTCCACTCGATCATTAGAACCCTTATAACGGCATTGTTTCATAACTCCATGACGTGCCCTATAATTTTGAACATTTATTTTGAGATAAATGTGCAGAGGAACCTAGAAAAAATTACGTTGAAAGAGAAATTTATAATTTAATCAAAAACATTTTAATAAAATTCAATTTAATTGTATTTCTTCATTAACAACCTACAGGTGTAAGCATGAATCACCGTTTAAATCAAGGTTTTAATTGTAAAATTTCTTTATTCTGGATTCAAACTTCGGTGTTCAAGCTGTGAATTGCCCATGCTGCCTATTAGTGTGTATGAGTATTTTTTAAATTGAATAATAATTTATTAATACAGAGAGACATAAAAATACGAGTATATCTCGCAAATTATCAACTAGTTATACAGAAACATACCTTAAAGTTCCCAGATTCTTATAAACTGTGTTTTAAGTGTCGACGACTCCCAGTTTCCGTGTAACTCCTGATCGCACGTCTAACTGGAATAAAGAAACTAGATGTAATGAATTAAAGTGAACTGAAGAGTAACCAAAACACTATTTTCATTGATATTTCATTCCCGGTGGAACGTTTTGCAGGTCATAGAAAATGTTGACAAGATAAATAATAAATTTTATTATACGCATACTATTATATTACAGACTTTGTTTTAGTACATTTTGTTATTTAAATAAAATTAAGTCAGCTATAACCGAAAAATAATTATCGGATCATTAATAAATATCTTATTAGGATTTCCCAATGGTGAACGTATTTACTTGCATTACATCGGAGTATTGCGTGTTGCCTATCCGGAAACTATTGAGAAGCTATACTCGGGCTAATTTAATTTTATGTAATTATTAATAATATTATTAATTTAATAATAATATTATTAAATTAATATTAATATTATTAATTTAATAATAATATTATTAAATTAATAATATTATTATTAAATTTATAATAATATTAATAATTTGATAATATTATATAATTTACATATATTTATCTATAACAATGGAAGGCATGTTTTTGAGGCGAAGGTTACCTTGCGTTGCCCTTTGTGCGCTGCTGCGGCAGGCGGATAAGTTGATCGCATGAACCCAAAACACGTTGAAATTTATATAAATAACAAGTGATGGAAATTGGAATTGCATTTTGGTGGGTGATAATATGAAGTATACGATATAATAATGACGCTATTAACAGGCAAATCACAATGTATAATCTTGAAAAATTAGCAACACCCTAATAACAGATCAAATAATAATCCGTCCGGGGTCAGAGAGAGGCGACTGGTACGGACAATAGACTCATAATCGACAACCTCCTTTGTCTAGTGTTGCCCGCATTTATCAGTAGCGGGATGATTGGGTTGGTTGAAAGTCCCGCACTAACCAACCAACATATACACTGTTACTTTTGGGACTTTGTTAACGGGTGACCGCTAGCTTCAACCGAAGCAGGGGGTAGCTGCTCCTCCAGGGTCACAGCGCTGATTCGCAGCGACTCGCGCGGGCCGATCGTTCGTCCCTACGACGTCCTCGTGGTTCCACCCGAAGAGGTATGAACACGCGGACCTCAGACTCCGTTGCCGCGCTTGTGGTTTCCACCCGTCACGAGCTTGTACCGGGAGAGGTCACTATAGTGCAGGCAACTTGGATGTCACTGAAGAGCCCTGATCGGAGGTCTAGTTTGAGTCTCCCGACGGTGACGGGATTTTCGACCTCGGCTTGTCAGCTCGGTCGAGTTTTAACCGCAAGTGTGGAGAATAATTCTATAAGCGGTCAAGCTACTCCTGGTTGTAGTTTTCGTGAATTCTCCGTAACATCTGACCGAAATACCGGACAGTACTCGTTACAAAACTTCCCACACGCCGTGGCGATCCTTTCCCTTCCTCATCCTTTCACCTTTGCTAAGACTAAGTGTTTTCAAACAACAAAAATAGTTTTCCACGCCGAGTCTGGAAACTCAGGTCCTCAGAGTTAATTCACCGTCAACCAATAGCCAATACGCTAAAGAAGCGTCGTTTAAGATCGACTAAGAGTCATCTTAAAAATGTAATTGTCTCAACCCAATATTTTCAACAAGCAATCTTTTGCAAATACGGAGAGGTCCTGAAAATTGAGTAGCACCATTTATTGTACCATCTCTTGATGTATGAGAGAAAAATTAAAGAAAAAATTGAAGCAGTTTTTGAAAAAAAATTAACATATTTAAATATAATCAACTGTGTACAGGATTATCATCTATGTGCTAAAACATAGAACAAAACATCAATGTTTAGCAAACATTGGCTACACAAAAATCGATGATAATTCCATCGAAGATTTTATAAAAACATCGATGTCATCCTAGTGCGATCCATCTGCTCAAGAAATTGTTTTGTCTGTTGCGTATCGCAAAGAACGGAATCTACCTGCCGTCTCGAGGAAAGACAGAGCAAGGAAATGGTAGCTATCGGAGAGAGAAACGTGCTCTCAGCGCAGGAACGTATATCCTGGTACCAATACATTACTGTGATAGCGTAAGTGTCTCTCTTGTCGCAGTCTTGTAGAAGAATCATTTCTGTTTGTCGTAATATTCCTACGAAACATAGTGGCACTTATATCAAGAGCTGGAGGGAGAGGGGGAATCCTTCTTCCAATTCGAAGCTTTGATCCGCTTAGGTTTTTGGTATTGAAGCTCCAGATCCATTCATGTCCCTTTCTCCTCACAGCTCGTGACCCTCAGGAGTGCACTACATTCAAATTGGAGTATATCTTCTACATCGGCAATCGATGCTCGTAATCCCCGGGGTCTTCCTGACGCCTACTAACGAATTTCCTGATTGTTCAAAATTTGAACGCCAGAGAATGTGGGAGGGGCCTTTCACACTAATCAATACTACGCTAGTGTTTTGTTTTTTTAAGTTTTCGCGTAATACGTACGTAGTATTAAAAATGATAAATACTACTGCAAAAATGCAATTTTTCGTCGTCGGAATAAATCAAATTGAAGTTTTCTGGTTCCAAAAACGGGGGCAATTCTTGTTCCTCCGGGCCAATTCCTTATGTAGTAAATTACTCCTCAGTCACTTGCACTCAGAATTCACGTTTTTAATCATTGACACTGAAAAAATGGTTGACGCCAAAACCTGTCCGTATGTCTATGAAAAACACTAGCTGCTAAATAGTTACCGTAAATGTATTTTAGGAGCCGATAGGCAGCAACTGAGAAACGGAAAATGCAGTACCGAAAAGCAAACCGAGACTAAAGAGATTATAAAAGTAACTATAGTACCGGCATCATATAAGTGACTCTTGACAGTTCAATGCGTTGTTGCCGCACAATACTTCGCACATGGTACCACCTCCATTACAGGTAAATTAAATCTTAAAGCAGTTACACTTACTGATAGGCTGTAAGACGTCTTGATATTATGTTCGTAACTTTCACCAAAGCCGAACCTTATCGCCTCCGTGACTTAGTGTGAGTGAGATGACTGGCAACGCTGAACCTTGGCTGTAAGAAAGTAATCAAATCCTCGCAAGCTTATTGAATCAGAGCATGTCACATGACGTACCACAGCACGTGACAAGAGAACTGTCAGAGTTGCTTATACGCTGCCGATCCTGTAGTATGAGAACGTTTGTGCCATTTTGTAGCACCAGTATTTTTCTAAGGTGTCCGTTGCGTTTTTGATCGGGGCGACCCAACGTCCACTGCACCCGCGCGTCGAGTGCCGCCTTTTTCAGTGGTTAGCGGCTGCGTCGAGGCGGTTTTGAAAACTTTTTCCTTCGCAAAAAAGAGTGAATTGCCGCGTGTGCGCTCCTGCGATTGAAGGATTGTTGTACAAAGTCGAGGCGATCTTAGTGCCCTAGATTCCTCGCTGAGTGCGCCGACTGTTGTATTGTCTCCCGAGTGTGTGTCACCGCCACCATATTATTGGCACTATAATTTCATCTATGATTATGCCGTGGCGACTCAGCCTCAAGGCAATGGCCTCGAGACACCTATGGTAAGCAGGTCACTATCACGTATGAAATATACATGTATTATTTATATTTGATTTATATCTTTTTTGCAGCCGATATACAATCCTCCCCATAAACATGTATCGAACTGTTGGCTGACCTCCCACTTCCCCTGAGACACCTCCACTCACATATCCAGGACGAAATATTACTTGGCTCCCAGCCAACCAAGCAGTAGAGAATATTGGTGTGTTACTCGATTAGAAGTTTCATTTGGGCGGCAAAAATTGTGTTGTATAACTCTGGCCATATTTCGAACTCATTGATTATACTACATCCTCAACTAGAGGTGTTACAACATGTACTTTCTGGCAATATTAGTAACGCTTAAGTAATATGCGTATTCATTGCAATTTAATATTTCAGCCTTTCGTAGAAAAAACTCTCTTCACCAAAATGCATGTGAGATTTGAATTTCCAATTTTATATTTTTTGAGGGTTTAATGAAAATCGGATTTGTACCAAATTTATGAGTACACATTTCTCTTATACAGAAATGACTAAAACATATTATATCATTGTGATTTATATCAACACAAATTCGAAAATTAAATGCGTATTATACCCGTAAAAAATAGACAATAAGAATACAACCTAGAGGCGGCGGCGGAGTGACAGCTGTCGATACAGCTCAGCCAGCATGAAATTTTTGCGATTTTTGCAGCGAGGCGTTGTTAAAACAACACTGGATTCTTCGATTGGCGTTTGTGTCTAGTGTGCCGGGTCGAATATGCGTCCCACGTCGGCACGGAAAGCGTAACTGGCTATCTGCTGGATAAAGCCCTAGGGAAAAATGTGTATAAAGTTTCGCCCAGCACTGTACCGCACCCGGGCGTTACACGGGACTATTGTATTGAGCGGTGTGATTCCTGCTATGTGCACAAAACGCCTCTCTTATCTGCACTTTTCTAGAGTGAGCCCCTCGCTAGGGCACAAACGACACGATCTTGCAGAAAGGATAGGCTTATCGCTACGGCGACGACCGTCAGGCCTGCGAACGGTACTACAGACGACAGCAAAAGAAAACACAAAAAACATTTTCTCTGCACGTTGCTGACGACAAGAATGCTTTTATTTTCGAATGCTTTGAAGTTTCCAAGCTCTAATGGTGGCGGATGTCTACCCTTGGCAAATCATATAATATGCGAGTATTTGCGGAAGCCTTATACACGAGCTCATACAAAAATTAAGAAACGTCTGATACAGAATTTTGAGTTTTAAAATATTTGATGATGTTTTTTCCAGTCATCTCAACTCCTCGTTTCAATTTGGTGCGTTAAAGTTTACACACTCTGTTCATTTCCCACTATTTTTGTTCTTTCTTTTTCTTATCTCAAATAAGGGTCATTTTCTTCTCACATTGTACTTTATACTTTTCATGTTAATGAGGCTCGTGGTTGTTATTTTTTAATTTATTTATTGATCCTTGTTCGACAAAATTTTGTGTGTCAAGGATATGAACATTATATTAAAATCAAATACAATACGAGGAGAAACTTAAAAAGTAACCTCAGAACATATTACTGACATGTATAAGTATTTTTGCTTGAGTTTGGAGAGACATAATGATCTTAAAGATAAACGATGTTTATAAATATAACATAATACATGAAAATGTATACAGTAAATAATAGATACAGGGAGCAAAATTAATTAGGGAGGATGTACGGGATCTTTTCAATAACGTGATTTAATTCGCGAAAAATTATTAACTGCTTTTCCAGGTTGAAAATATGTATAAGCAGGAGAAAAAGAAAGAAAAGTATAGAATTATCTCAGAGACGAAGGATTTAGAATTTTAGAGGAAGAATACTTAATTCGTATAATATTTGTTCTTTTCTTATGAACCAGGTTGCTTTCAATGCTTTCTTAGATATTTATACCGCCCCAAACGGGGCATGCGCATCTCGTGGTTGCTAATGAGGTGTGGTGGTTGCAGTGGCCGGGAGCGGCGGCGGGGGCAGCGGCGGCGGCGGGGGCGACGCGGAGTCGGCCGGGGCGCCCTCCACGGCCGGGGCGCTCGGCCGCCTGTCGCTCTGCCCGACACTGCTGCTCCAATGTCGGCCGCAGGTTGAGACCCTCCCCCCCCCCTCGCCTCCCCTCCTCACCATCCTACCCACTCACCTCACCCCTCCCCCCCCTCCATCCCTTTTCCCGATTACGCAGCGCTCTTTGCCTTCCAAACAGAGAGCACGACTACTCACGAACTTATTTGTTTTTCGTCTCCTTAGTTTTTCGGTTGGCTTCCTTCCTTTCTCTCTTCTTCTTTCTAATTTTTTATTTATATAATTTGATATTTCAAATTATTTATATAATTTATTTAATAATATTTAATTTATATAATTTGATTTATATAAACTAGAAATATACACTTGAAAAGTACATCAATTGATCGCAATTCTGAACAATCTGTCTAACAGTAGTTGTTCTCCTAATATTTTCTATCTCCTGCCTAATATACCTTCGTAAGATTTACTTACGTGTTTGAAACGTTATTTCCTGAATGACGCACTTGTTAGCTGTTTTGACAATTTCAATCAATTTAGCTTTTTATTTTCCTTGTGTGATACAATGCCTAAGAGTTTAGTGTTACCTTGATGGATTAGTTATTATTTGCCAAATAAGATGTATTTCAACAAACATTTGTACAGAACACGAGTGATTCGGACAAACAGAATTACATCCATTGTATATTTGTAGTGTGTGTTTTAACTACATTCTTTTACTTACACTTCGTTTGTTATCGACCTAACAATTGCGTTCTAAGTAACAACTTGAACAATATCAAACTTTTAATGCCCTTACTTTAGAATCAGATACTGAGGAAAAAGCGTTAAGGAAGTTGCATTATAATCAATCGTGAAAGCAGAAAATCACATCCACCAGATTGCAGGAATTGCCTATTTAACTCTTTTGCATTTAAGTCTATACAAAATACATTTACATTGCTCCTAAAGAAAATATGAAATATTCTGAGAGAGGAAATTTAACAGATTACTTTCATCCGTAAAATGACTCGCCTTACATTTAACACAGAATTTATTTTTAAATTTAAAAATACGTTCAGGTATGAGATTTTCAAAACATAAATAATACGTTATCATATTCATTCCGTGGTTTTCATCTATAAATATCGGTAACTTGAACGAGAAAAAGATATATCAACCAATGCTTTGTTAACGAGAGGTCGGTAGAATATTCCCTCCAAGGTTTGAAGATTAATGGGCCTTTCATCCATGCAACATTGCGGTGTAGTATGCTGTTAGAATTTAAAAGTGCTTATTTATTTTAGTGTGCATTATTCATCCAGAAAATAGAACAAAAGCAATAAATTTACATTTTAACATTTATGATATATTACCTACCACATAATGCTGGCAAAAACTGCACGAATATTTTATACTACGCTGATAGTAAATAACGCCAACGCTCTGAAAATAAATTTTCTCCCTAATTTTATAAAACCAAAAAAATATTCCATGTTACGTACTTTTCTACCAAACATTCTGTTTTCGGAAGCTTGGTTTAAAGAATTTGGTATGCATTTTAAGGTTTCATCAGATATTATTGTTGTGTAACCTTATCTCTTACTCATTTACATTTTAATTATTCACCAGCATATTAATGCGCTACACTGTCATGTAGTGGCATCTTTCTAAAGGACAGTTAGATTGCATCAGATGCTACGTTTTGGGATCGTCAGGGACTTGAAAATCAACATTTTATAAATATGTATAATTTGTTGCAGACTAATTATTTTATTGAAAGTCGCACTTACTAAGTTGTGAATTCCGTGTTGCACACCCTTGTAAAATTCAATATGCTCTTTAGTGTTATAAACTTCACATTCATTCTATGCTTATTTCGTAAGTTGCGTGTTCGGTTTTATTCCCGCCAGAGAGCTTTTTCATAAAATAATTGCGTTCTTAAGTAAACATATTTGCGAATTTTCTTTTAAGAGAATGTGGGCTTCAAAAGGAGTTATTTACAAGGCAGGCAAATCATTTTCAGTATTCTGCAAAGGTGAGTAATGTATCAATGTGAAAATTCTGTGCATGGAATCATTCAAAGGCGATTCCTACTACGTTGTTTCTTAATCACAAGAGCCTGGCTATGTTGTAGACAATTCTACTCATGTTCCTTCGTACATACTGTTGCCATCTATAGGCATGTGAAGGAATGCGAGTAATTAGTAATAGTCGTTAGGGGCTCGATTTAGACTCAGGTCGATCCCTGTCCATGCGCATCCTTTGCATGTGAACGCGATGGTCGAAGCGAGCGCGAGTACGCACGCTATACACCCACAGAGCCTTCCTGCGCCTGAATCCCCTCGAACCCGCCAATCACTGCCAGTACGGTCCGCCTCGTGCGTAGTGGATTACACATTTTGGCCTCATTTTCTCAGGAGAATGCCTCTGAACGCCATGGGGTATTTCAAAAGAATTTTAATTGTAGACTTAATTATACGTTCTTGTACGTTCTATCAATCTTCGGTCGGACTGGTTACCAGTATGTATTTAGCCAGTATGAATTTATGAGGCGCAATGGTTTGTAATATATTTTGAGGACTGCAAAATAAATCATGTCTGGGATCCAAAGTTTCGTAGCTCGTAATCTTTACATCAAATAATCCTTAACCTCAAAAAAATTATAAGTTAAATGCTACCTCTGACAAAATTTCCCCACTCCAAAATTAGCGCCCTTTACAAGAGATACTATTTTTTTTTAAATGTTTCGTCATGAAGGTGAACAGTAGCTCTCAATACATGACAAGTCACATCCCGACTAGCCTCCCGCCACTTAAAAATAGTGATGGAAGTGGGAGCATTTAAGCGTCACTAAACGACACATTTATAATCTCAATCAATTTAATATCATTAGAAGGTTCAACTACTTTTGTAGGCCGTCTTCCCAAATGTATAATTATTCAATATTCCTTAGTAGAATTTTCAGTAGTAATCGTAATTTTGTGCAAACTAATTACTTTATTTTATTACTTACGTAGTACTATTATCTATTCTAATTAATGTGAATCAAAATGGAATTATAAATCCCCTGAACCAAATTAACCTTATCTGCTTAATTTCCCTATTAACAAGAATTTCCTTATTTACTTTACATCTTTATCGCCTTGTATTGTTTGGAAATTATGACCTTAAATAATACACGCACACAAAAAAAGGTCAGAAGACATGACACAAATTTTCTATGTATTTCGACGCGTATAATCCAAATCTGGAGCCACAATTGCGCCATCACCCTCTATTCTTTTAAATCGTAGAAAACATCGTGTCATATTTTTGTTTTTGTTTCGAGAGTTGTGAGACTCAAAAGACTTGACACATGATTCTCTATGTATGTTCGTGCGCTAAATCCAAAACAGAAACCAAAATTGCGCCACCACTCTCGTTTTTGTTTTTTTTAAATCGCGAAAACCCAAAGTGAAATTGTAGATTGGAAATTCTTGCACCAAAATTCGGATTCAGCCCATCGACATACCTAGAGAAACATGTGTCAAGTCGTTAAGTCTGACAATTTTTGTGTGTGTGTGCCTGTGTAATGAAATTCTTGGCCTTCAAAGCCAAAAATAAAACTAACTACGTTTCGAGGCGTTAATATTAGAAGTGCGGTCTAAACTCATTCCTCGTGCTTCCAGATCTACTGCGGCGTGTGCGTGACGGTGTGCGTGACGGCCAGCTGGGTGGGCGCCACGCACTGCATCAAGTACCTCTACTTCCACCCGGGCCCGCTGGGCGGCGGCGGCGGCGCCAACGTGACGGTGGCCGGCGTGGGCGTGGGGCCGGGCCCGGGGCCCGGGCCGGGGCCGGGGCCGGGCGCCGGCGGCGGCGTGGGCGTGGGCGGCGGCGCGGGCCGCCTGCGCCTGCACGGCCCGGCCGTCGCCACGGGCTACAACGCGCCCTTCTTCACCACCTGGTTCTGCACCAACTGGACGGCGCTCTTCTTCCCGCTGTACCTGCTGTGCCGCCTGGTTGGCGCCCGCTGCCGCCACGGCGGGGCCATCCTGCAGGAGAGCGCGCGACACTTCCGGGAGAAGGGCTTCACAGCCGGTGAGTGGATGCCCGACCAGCCCTTGCTTTCCTTTTATTAAATACGCAATGAACTCCAAGAATTTGTTATTTTTATTAAAACATCTACAGATGTATGAAATTTGTAAGGTGTTTGTCAACACGTAAGTTGATGTTAAAAATTGCATGATTTAATTAATGAAACCATGAAATACAAAAGCCCAGTTGATGCTTCTCACAGGGAACTCGTCGACGGATCTGAGGTGTGCGCCAAACCGTTTTGAAGGGCACTCTCTTCGCCCACCTCACTCTAAGTGATTTAATGAGATCCTTTATCATTACCTACGTGGCTGTCTCGGAGAAGCCCTGTCCAAGGCACCGATGCCGACGTTTTGGCTGTCATGCTGCGACCTTTCTAAGGGCGAGGAAGGTCACATCATAACGACCGAATCATTGGCATTTGTGTCTAGAACGCGGCGACTCTCGGACAACCAAGTAGAATATGATTCCGGCCGAGAAAGCCTATACTTTCATTATTTAGATATTTTGTTCCCTGGGATGATGCTAATAATTTAATCTCACGAGCTCGAGTTAGTATCTTATTATACACAATACTTTATTATTTTTATGCTTTTTCTCCCTTGATTTTTTACCATTTACTGATTTTAGGTCATGCTAGAGACAAACGTATGACTATTTATATTGCTAAGTTTTGGTGTCATACATGAGAATTCAGTTCTGTAGCAATGAAACTTTATTCAGGATTATATAATTTTGACGTAAAGATGAAACAGGCCTGCCTAACTGGCCCTAAAAGAGCGCATGCGCTCGCTGCGGCTCGCGCCTGGGCTTCGAGCTAACAGGGCGCCATCCCGGGGAGAGGGGGCGCTTATAGTGGGGTGGGACAAGAGAGTGCACTTCAGAACGGTTTGGCGCACGCCTCAGACCCGTTGACGAGTTCCCTGTGAAAAGCATCAGCGATCTGGGCTTTAGTGTTTCATGGTGTCAATAACTAAATTATACAATTTTAATACCGATTTACGTGTTGACAAACACCTTACAAATTTCATACATCTGTAGATGGTTTTAAAAAAAACGAAAGTCAGGCCTGCTAAGACGGTAAAAAAACGAAATAACGTAGTGTTTTTTACATTGTTTCTAATTTGTACTTATGCTTTATACATAATAGTAATAACAGTAACAACCCTTTATAATATTTTTGACAATAAAAATACTGAAATTCAAATAATATATTTTCCTCACACAAGTTTTCGATGTTTCTTGAAGTATCAATGAAGTCATTGCTAGTTGTCTTAGGTGTGTGTCAGTACGCAAACATTACATTTCACATTGCAATTGTTTTAAGAGTTTTTATATCCACAGCAAAAGCATTTTCAGAAATTTCAATAACGCTATCCATGGTCTTAAAATCACTGAACCTTTTACATAGCTTTCAAATTCTACTCGCGCCGACTTTGCACACACTGTTTCATAAGAAGGTCGGAAGGCGACAGATAATTCGCGTAGCTCCTGTGCCATTCACTTCGGACCCGATGGCTGAATGCGATCAACAACCCTGCAGCCCCTTCTGAATGCCATTTCCCTCGCTGCTGAGTAGTGACCATCCCCTCCCCCGACACAACGCAACTTGCCTGTGAATTTTATTACGCTTTTTTCACTAATATATTCAGTTTTACAATATTTCCATTTCTCGTTTTCCGAAAATGTACCCTTATCCGCGTAACTCTTAGTATTTTTGTTTCTGACGATGCGGTGCCGCACCACTACGTGAATATGAAATAGAGAAGCCTTTTATCGTACACGATATACATCTGTTTTATTTCGTCAGAACATATTTTTTGCATGGTTTCGGGTCCATTTATATTTCATTTCACTTTCAGGTCACGTACCACAGCTACTGTTACATACTACTGTTCATAGCATTTTCTGGAAATTTCGCCTTGCACAGAACTCTGTGGGCTTGGCTGTCCCATAAACTTACCCTCCAAAAAATATAGCCTTTCACCATCTACCTACGTACAATTCTTCCGAACTGCGTAACAAAAGCCTGTCATAACTTTTCACCTTCTTTTCAGAAAAGTTGTGAGCTCTCTTGTTTTTAAAACACCAAAGTATTCTTTCCATTTAATATCAATTTCTTGCTACACAGTACAACAGTATTAATATTTATCACTTCTTGCGAGCGTCTATTTACTAAAACAATTTCTCGTAAGGATGGCCTCTTAGTTTTTAGCTGGACAATTGTCCTCTTTTTACTCTCAAAGGAAATCGTTGTATAGTGAATTAAATTCGCCCTTAAGCTCTTAATTAAAATGTGATAATAGAGAGGCTCTTTAACGAGATTTGGAATAGACAATTCAAACTTGTGCAAAAGGGAAGGAGAAATTCAAGCATTTTAGAGTACAGTCGCGTAAATGAATTTGCCTTCTCAGCGAGGCAGTCTCTGCACGGTAGGATTATCAGACTTAGTGAACCGGAACCTTCAGTAGATCGAATGAACCTCGGTTCCTCGGAGGGTGCCAAAATTCGCAATCCACTCGCGTATGCAAACAGCGTCCCGTTGCGACTCCAAACATTAAGCTATTAACAGTGAGTTTAACTGTCCTGTATAAGCCCCTCCACAGAGACAAGAGCTCACAGTCTCCCGCGAGGATTCGACTCTAAAAACTCGAGTTCTGATTGGATAAGATTCTGCTGTTAGTATGCCGAATAAATTTGAATGACTCTGTATTTCTCAATACCAGAACAAAATTCCCTTGAGGTGGGATTTAAGTATTTCATCCCACTATGTCGAAAGTTTAAGAAGTATAAATGTCTTAATCGCTTATAATATACAACTGTAACTCACGAGTTCATTTTCATTAGTTTTACTCTTTAACTCAATATCACTTGGCAAATAAAATAGTACTACATGTTGCAATAATTTTTTTCGCGATCAAAAAATATCACAATTAATTTCTTTAATTTATGATTTTAATAAATTATTTTCATACTTTTTTTTAAAATCATGACTTAACTGGATATAATCTCATTAGAGGAAGCTATAACCTAGCATGAAGAAAAAATGCAAACTATGAATTTCGGCAGACGAGTCCTGTAACTCGAGTAACTCGTGTGAATACTGAGCGCGCCGCCTAACCGAGTGGCGAAAGTGGCTGGCTGCAATTGCCATTCAGTTGATTCGTGGCCGCGGGTCGGTCGCTTCCCCATGAACGGCGCGGCGCGTTCCGCCCTCAATGCGCGGCCCCCGGGGCCTCCGCGTGCTGCATGCCCAACGCGGCGCGACGCGCCACCGGCCGGCACCAGCGCGGGGACAGGTAGGTGGCGTAGGGGAAGGCGGAGCGAGGAGGGAACGGAGCGGAGGGTGGGTGGCCGGATAGGATGGAGTGCGGACGTGCGGGACGGGGAGAGGAGAGGAGAGGAGAGATGGAGGGGTGGCCGGCCGACAGCCGCAGCATGGAGAGGCGGGCGGAGACGCAACGAGCGCCGCAGATGCCGGCGGAGAGGGGCCGCGAGCGAGAGAGACAGAGAGAAAGTGTGAGATGCGTGGAGAAGTCGACAGGGCAACAGGAAGCGGGAAGAACAGGACAACAGTGGAAAGGAGGGTGGCAATGGTGAAGAGGAAGAGATGGTCAGAAGAGTTCTGAGGGTTGTTGTACAGACAGGGACGAAAGAAAAGAGGAAAGCTTCGGGATCAGTAGTGGAGAGAACAGTCAAGAATAAATGCGAAAGTGTGGTTATTGTCGCCAGCTCATTGGGAAGCATTGGGACCAGACAGCGAGGGTGATCGGAGTAGCGAGAAGTGACGTGGCCAACAGGGTCAACAGCATCGAGGATGGTGACGGCGACATCGTCTCGGCCCTGGCAACCGACACGACTGAGATGACTGGCTGGAAAAGAAGATGCTGGAAGGGGAGGACTCGGGGACGTTGGATGTAATTGCGCCGGCAAGGGAGGCAGGGGTGACGGGCGGTTCTTCACCTTAGCGTCTCGGCGGCGGCAGGAAAGTCAGCGACCATTACAATGACGAGGACGGCCGAGGGTAGCGTGGAGCGAGCAGGGGAGGGGAGCGGCGGGGTGAGTGGCCGGCTGGCGCGCGGGCCGCAGCTTCGCACCTCGCCGCCACCCGCCCGCCCACGCGCCGCCGATCGATGCCCTGGAGACCCGCGCGGGGGCGAGGCGAGGGGACAGCTACTGCGAGCTTCTCGGAAAAAGAATCTGCATGCGAGCGCCGAGCGGCTTCGCGAAGGGTTATGCCACAGCGCAGCAGATGGGGTCGCTATCTTTGCTCTTATTTCTAGAGGAATATTCTGGTAGAAAAAAGAATAGTTCTGCAGAAGTTAAAAATTCTTCTATTACACTTCTCGAGAAAAAGTTTCCTTGAGATATCTAGTTAATAAACATATATAAACAAAAGATAAATATCTTAAAAAGGCATGAGGTTTAAAATATTAAAATGAGGAAACAGCAAATTTGAGCTTGTTCATTCCATATATTTTATTAATTCATTCCATAGAAGCACCGCAGTAAAAATATCGCACTCCATAAAATGGAGGAGAATAAATAAGTACGTATTTAGAAACATATTTACATATTTCCACATGAACTTATATCCTATACCGGTTGGAACTTCTTTATGTTTACCTAATAAAAATACTGAAAAATGAAAGATGTAAAAAAATAAATGATGAACTGCAGTTAGAAAGTCGTTAAGTTGTGTAAGTCCTGTTATTACAATTGTAAACATGCAGTACTTCTGTATTTTATGCGCTTGATAATAAATTATTTTCCTTTTCGCTAGAAAAGAAGAGACGAAAGCGGGAAGAAGTAAGGGGAAGAGAAATGGCTAATAAGAGTTGAAATTAAAGAAAAGGGAACAATACGATCTCCGTTATTTGTAAAGAGTTCGTTATTTGGTTCGTTGGGAGCTGAGAGACCCAGGGGGAAAGAATGCGAAAGAAAGGGCCTGTTAAAGAGAAAAGAAGGACTTCAGAAAATAGGATGCATGCAAATAGAAGTAA